ATTGTAGGTGTTTTCGACTTCTTTGCATCAGTTTTGCGCACTGAAGAAGATTCTTTTTCAGAATCCTCAATTTTGGTGGCATCATCTTTTGCTGAATAAAATTCATCGTCCTCCTCACTTTCAGGTTCAGCAGGTTGCTGGACTTCTTTTCGAACGCCCCTATTTGACCGTCTCTTTGTATCTGGAGAATTATTGCACCTATCACCTTCTGTAGAACTACCGGGATGTCGATCTGCCGAGGGCCGTCCTCTGCGATTGCCTCCAGCAACTACTTCAGCACGCTTTCTCACGGCAAATGATATAACACTATTATCAGCTTCCTCAGTTTTATCTTCTTCTTTTGTAGAGTCTGCTTTTATTGGTTCATCTGCTTTGGTTTCAACATCTTCTGATGGTGCAACTACTGTAGATGCTGAATTTTTGGATGTGGAGGCTTTTGGTCCTTGTTTTTTTGAAGTGCTGCCTTTTGGTCGGCCTTTTTTACCTTTTTTCCCACCCTTAGCTGGTTTTGTTTGCATTTTCTTGACTGTGTCTTCCGCATCTTTAGTTTTACCTTGATTCAAAAAGTCCAAGTGAGCAGGCAATGCGGGTGTTCCACGAAAGCACAAAAACGTTAAAAAGTCCTCCGTTTTAGGACGCTTGTTTGGTAAAATCTCAGTTGGGGGTTCGCGACTCTCAGAAGACGTGCTGGGACCTGTGTTTGAAGAAGATGAAGCAGCAATTACTGAGCTATAAGAAGATGTTGGAGCATTCTGGCCCTGGGCAAACTTCCGTTGTGCTTGAACTTTAGTCCTGTACGGTGAAAAATACAAATATAGTCAAAGATTAAACGACATATTACGACCAAATTTAGTATTTTGTATTGTATTTAGTAAGATGTATGATTTTTATAAATTAGGAAGTGTTGTGGAATGCGAAATAATAGTAGTACTTGCAATAATCCCCGAAAATGGGGGTGCTCCGTGGTCTAAAAATCTGCATATTTCTTTATTCTAAAAAACCACATGCATTGCTTTTGGTAGTTAACTCTAACTTAGTATTTGAGCAAGATCGTACTCTACTCAATACGCCATGCGTTAAGCAATCCTATTGCTAGGGTCTTGAGACTTATTTATTGTTATTGCGAACGCTACAATAATTTTGAATTGGCGACGTTTAAATACAAAGGCAAGTGTTGATTCGCTGGGCTGTTAATTAATATGGGATAGTATAATTCGAATCACATGTGTTAAGTCCATCAACTAACCCGTATATGTGCATTTTAGTATTGCGGCATCCAAACAATTACATTGTAATTCTTTAACTATTAGGCGAGACCATTAACTAACCCTTCATATGTACATATTTAGATTGTGGATTAGCATCACAACTGCTCTAACTTTTAGTATCAAGTCATGAGGTGGAACTCCTCTTCTTCTACTTGCTCCTGTGGATTTTCAGAAACGACAGTAGATATCGACGCCATTTCTACTCCGGACAACATATTAACCATTTTATTAACTATCGTACAGTGCTTATTTTTCCTACGCGAAATTGATCGATCCTTCAAGTGGTTTTGATTAATTACACCAGTCTGAGGTTTAAATAGCCAATCGGCTAAATCTCGCAAAATAATCTCTGGTGGCACTAATCTTAATTTTTGATTCTGGGGAGAGTTCTCGCTCTTCTTAACCCGCAAGAGAAAACTGAAATAACCATATTCTCTGAAACGCATATTTATCGAGAGTTTAAAATACTTTACCGTTCCCTCAGTTCACCCGCCAGGATTTTTTTGGGTTTTCCAGCGTTTTAAAACCATATAAAATTCAAAATAAAGAAATGAAATTGTTCAAAATTGGTGAAAATGAGAATGCGTGTGTGAGATTCAGTTTTACATTTTAAAATTGCTCAATGTAAAATTTTATAGTCTTTCCGTGCAAATATGTACCTACATCGAATGATTCCTAAATCTGAAATGTTGGTGCAAAGTTTCAGATTCAGCTCTGTACGATTATATATAGATACATATGTATATAGATTTATAATACAAATAGAACCATATTTGCCTCAGAAATACATCGAAATAAACCATGTAAGATTTATACATATATGGGTATCTGTACAGAGGCAAAAGCAACATTTTTGTTTTGCAGATCTTTCGCTGTATCACATTCGCATGAACCTCAGTATATCCAGTAAAAAAACTGTGGTGAAGTCCTTTATGGGGATAAAGTTTCCAGAGGTGAAATTTTAGGTAGCACACAATTTCTTACACGCATGGTTGCTTTTCAGCACTCATGAAAGAAACTTAAGAAATATTTGAAAAAAAAGTTCATATAGTACATTAATTTTTGAAAGAAATACCATATAATGTATGTACTCTGGTGGTTAATAATATCAAAAAATGTATTAGAACCGCCGTTTAATGTTATATTTGATACAAATAAATATTGCTGCTCCGAACGCTCTGCGCCTTGCCACTGAATAATAGATTGACTTAAAATTACATCTTTCTGTTCTTTCTGTATCGCATCGTGGTGAATTCACATTTCTCAGAAATTTGACAACAAAACAAAACAAAGCGAGTTATTTGCTAATTTTTGCGATTTCGGGAAAATTTTCCAAAACGGATCCAGGCTTTGAAAAAAAAAAAATATTAGGGAGTATAGAGGAGCTTTTTCAGATTCTAAATCTGAAGACCCCACCCTCCGGAGGCTTATAGTTTTAAAGTAATTCGCATTTAAAGTTGCAAAAAATACCGAATTTAACCTCACCTTTTGCTTTGTACACCAATTGAAGTGAAACGTCTGTGCTGCCATACATATGAAAAAATGCCTCAAAAACACAAAACGGAAGCAATAAAAAAATTCAGATAATGATCGCGCCATATTTAATAAAAAAAATTTAATTATTTATTGGTCGATTTTTGATTAAAAAGTTGCATAATTTATCGAAGTATCGAGTTTTAGAGTTTAAAGCGCCGCAGGCGAAAATTTGTAAAATAAATCGCGCGATTTTTAATTAAAAATGTTCATTATTTATGGAAGTATCGATTTTTAGAATATAAAGCGCCGCAGGCGAAAATTTTTAATAAAAAATCGCGCGATTTTTTATTAAAAATTTTTGATATATATGGAACTATATTAATATATGGTTACTGGGTGTTTTATATAAAATCGCGCGATATGACGATTTTACGCACAACTCCTTTTTGTGTTGGCCGCGTTTTAATAAAATCCTTTAATAGTGGCGTATTTACTTTTAAAACGTATGGCAGCACATATTTGCTCTTACTGTCGGCCATTGTTATTTCTGTTTGTTTGTGAAAAGTGGTAAAACGTGAACACAAGTTTATAAACGCGTTTTACTTAATTAATTGGTGAATTATATATAATACAAGCATAAAATACGCATGTGAGCATTGAAAATATAACATGTAACACAAAATATAAGTGATAAGTGGCATATTTTAAAAAAATTAGGGGGTGATAGTGGACATTATTTAACAACAAATTGCTAAAATACTATTAGCAATTATATTGTGAGAGTGAACAATTCATGTTGAGGAGGCCTCCCCCAACATCCTCACCAAGTTTCATGACGAAATTCCTTATACTTTCGCTGAAATTTCGATTGGTTCCGTTTTGGAAAGCCCACCCAAATTGAGTAACTAGTAATGAGGTAGCAGGCATATTTGGAAAATTATGCCGATAAGCAGGATGGAATTTGGGAAAGTAAGTGCATGGTTGCAGCATATCTATGTATAAAAAGTATTTAATTAAATTGTTTATAGAAATGTTATAAATCGAGTGGCTCATTTACGATGTGCGCCAAACATTTGGCGAACTTTTTTTCGCCTTTTCAACGTGCTAAGTAACAAGTTAAGATGACTGCCATCACGGCCGGTAAGAAACCGCAAGCAAAGGGCAGACAACCTTCCAGGAAGCTGCCTCCTGTCCCCGAGTCGAAGCTGCAGTTCAGCAAGAGCAGGTCAGCAAATTGCTACCCTGATCAAACGTAAACTAAAGCGCTCTGCTGTGATTGCACTCCGTAAACGTGAAAACTTGGTGCATGCTGAGAAATATCAAACAAGAAAACTCCGTGATGGACGCCGTGAGATGGAGTAGCGCTGCGTGGCAAAGAAATGCGGCCAATTCGACGGGCCTGAAAAATCCAAATTGGCTTTTGTGATCCGGTATCAACAAAGTTGCACCAAAAGTGCGTAGTTTTACAGTTCTGTCTTCGCCACATTAAAACGGTGTGTTCATCAAATTGAGCAAGGCAACCATTAATATGCTACGTATGCCGAACCCCCTATATGGGGTTATCCAAATCTTAAATCAGTTCGTCAATTGATGTACAAACGTGGAATGGTCAAGCGTGTCCCAATCTCTGCTTTGTGATCGAACGCAAATTTCGCGAAGCGCACGAAATTCAGTGCGTTGATTCACTTCACTTCAAGAAAGCCCCCAACTTCCTGTTGCTATTCAAGCTCAACACATCAACCCGAGGCTGGCGCAAGAAGGCTAATCACTACGTTGAGGTTGGTGATTTCGGTAGCCGTGAGGATAAGATTAACAAATTGACGCACAAGATGGCTTAAAGAAATTGTTGTTTTGTATTTAAGGCGACAATATAATTTGGCACATCTTCAAAAGACGCCCAAGCAAAAAAAAAGAAGAAAATTAAAAAATTCCTGAAGTTGCCTTTCGATTTCTGTCGACTGGAAAATTGACTTAAGATATCGACTAGCCAAAACGCTTACATTTTACGGTTGAATTGCAATTTACACGGGTAGATTTTGGTTAAACGACAAAAATCGACCGTGTAAAGACAGCTTAAATAACGTTCAAATTAATCATCCCCTTTGAGATGGAAAATACCAATAACCATTTCATAATTTCGAAAATTATTCCATTTATATTTGTTCTTGCATTTTCCACACCACTTGTGAGGTATGCTTTTACGCGCGTTACCGATTTTTTTTTAATGTGCTCGGTTGCCCAGGAGGCCTATTTTCACCTTTACAACTTAACTTAAACAGAATTAAAACTAAAGCATGCAATATATAAAGAAATATAAAAGTTGTCTTACATCTAGTAAACTTAAAAAATTGCACATTAAATTCATTTTTCATTATAAAACAAAATTAAATATCACAATTCAGTTGAAGTGTATACATATGTACATATTTACCAAATGTAGTCTGTTTGCACCCACAGTAAGTTCCCATGAAGCCTAGCCTAAATTCAGAATTGAAAAAAACGAGCAAATGGGGTCGGAAACTACTAGCCCTAAAAGCATAATGTGGAAAATGTTTGAAGAGCTGCGAAATTGTATTGCAATAATAAAAATAACAGTGCATAAATTGGAAAAATGGTTTTTGTTTTGCTTTATAATTTTTGGGAATACGGTATATTTTGCTTTGCTGCCTTTATGCTTAAGTGCACATTTAAGATACGTGTGTCAAGTTAACATTACACTTTTCGAATTTGGAAAAGTTAACTACGGCATTAATTGTAGTGTTTTTGTTGTAAATTTGTTGTGGAAAGAAAAAATTTGTAGCTCTCGTTTTTTAAGAAAAAATGGTATGTAGTGCTAACTTGACACCATACACCTAGTCGATAGAATTGAGATATTGAAAATGTTATAACGGCATTAATTGTAGCTTTTAACTTTAAAATTTGTTGTGAAAAGAAAAAATTGGTAGCTTTCGTTTTTCTGGAAAAAATTGAGTTGAACCTTTTTCGAACAAAATTTGGTATGTAGTGCTAACTTGACACCATGCCCCATTGACGACAGAATTGAGATAT